AAAAATAAAATAAAATAAAATAAAATAAAATAAAATAAAATAAAATAAAATAAAATAAAATAAAATAAAATAAAATAAAATAAAATAAAATAAAATAAAATAAAATAAAATAAAATAAAATAAAATAAAATAAAATAAAATAAAATAAAATAAAATAAAATAAAATAAAATAAAATAAAATAAAATAAAATAAAATAAAATAAAATAAAATAAAATAAAATAAAATAAAATAAAATAAAATAAAATAAAATAAAATAAAATAAAATAAAATAAAATAAAATAAAATAAAATAAAATAAAATAAAATAAAATAAAATAAAATAAAATAAAATAAAATAAAATAAAATAAAATAAAATAAAATAAAATAAAATAAAATAAAATAAAATAAAATAAAATAAAATAAAATAAAATAAAATAAAATAAAATAAAATAAAATAAAATAAAATAAAATAAAATAAAATAAAATAAAATAAAATAAAATAAAATAAAATAAAATAAAATAAAATAAAATAAAATAAAATAAAATAAAATAAAATAAAATAAAATAAAATAAAATAAAATAAAATAAAATAAAATAAAATAAAATAAAATAAAATAAAATAAAATAAAATAAAATAAAATAAAATAAAATAAAATAAAATAAAATAAAATATTAAATTAAAAAATCTGGGTAGCTAATTAGGACCTCACACACAAAAGGCTTTTTTACTCTTTCAATTAATTTACAAAAGTCCCCACAACATAGGCCTCCTATTTCTCTTACTCTTTATTTCTTTTCTTTATTTTTGTTCCTATTTATCTCTTCAGACAAAAATAACCAGATAAATCCACGTTGACACAACTGTTCCTTGGTAAGCAACCATCACCTAAGGGATGATTTTTGATGTAGGATTTTCATTTAAAGGGTGGTTTGTTGTTTTTTGTTGGGTTGGGGTTTTTTTGGTTTTTTTTTTTTTTAACAAGGATCATTGCTCCGCAGTTAGTAATTTGCAGGCGCTGGTAATTGCCGATTTCTTAAGCGGCAGCTTAAGTTTCGAAATACAAGAAACGAAGCCGTGGATTTTAACTAGGGATGGTGTCTTAAATACTTTAAGCACCTTTGAAAAAACTTGGCACTTTTTTTTTTTTTCTCTCTGTTTTGTGGAGAGAAAAAAAAAAAAAATTATTTATAGGAATATCCATGTTCACTAATCATTTTAACAAAACAAACCAACCAATAAACCACAGCCTGAGACTTTCCAGCCCTGCACAATTGCTTGGTTTGGTTCAGACCAAGCGGATCTCGGGGATGTCGGGATTTCTAATCCCTTTGGACTCTTCAATTTCGGGTCTCGTATCATGGTCGCGTGGTTGCCCCAGAGAGAAGGACGCTCGGGGTCCAAACCACTGGCCTCGTGGTTGCGCACGCTTCAGTCACCCTACGGACTGAGCCGTTACAGCAAATCTCCGGCTTATTGTGGAAACAGCACCGGGAGAACGCGAATATAATGGCTCCTCTTAAAATTCAATAAATCCTCAAACCTCGGGACTGTATTTACTTCCTGGCTGCCTCGGGATTCCCTACGGAAAACTGGAGAAGTCACTTCAGGACGTACCAAAAAGTGCTCACGGTGCTTTGGTGTGCTGATAGCCCCTCCCTTAATAATCCCCGTGCCTTAATGCTGATAGTAATCCCTTCTCTTTTGTTTCTCAGGTCTAATCAGTTCAAACCCACTCCTTGTTCGTTGTGGGGACTTGCCCTCCGTCTGCCTGGTGCAACGCAATCTCAGTTAAGACTTCAAAGAGTTGCTGGAATTCAAATTATAAATACGATAAATGCCAACGAGGAAAGCCCGTTTTACTCCAGGCTCTTCCATTTGCTCGCCGAATGACCTCTGACAATTCATTTAGCCTCGGTGCTTCGCTATTAAACCTAGATAATAACTAGAATTAAATATTTGCCGAAGGCAATGAAAAATTAAGCTCCAAGGGAAGGAAGTGTGCGGTAGCATTTTATACAGTGCCCAAAACTGTAAAGAAAGTGTCAAGGAGTCCCACAGTGTACTACGGCAGAAAGGGGGTGTGAAAAGAAGACGAAAACACCGAGCGGGCTCTGGGACGGTGTTTAGAAAAGAGAAGGCCCCCGAGAGGAGCGCGGTTTATGCTAAGCCTGACTCAACGGCACAAAATGCTTCCGCTGCAGAAGATGGAGCACAGTTGGCAGCTAAGGTTTTTCTTGCCCGGCTTTTCCAGCTCTCTTCCGGTAACGTTTAGTAAAGAGGACATCCAGATCTGTCCCCAGCACTTGCGGAAAAGCCATGAGAGGGTTTTGCCCTGGTTCAGGTGACATCCAGACGCTGGGCAGGAGTTGTCACCTCCGCTATCAGGCTTCTTCCCCCCAACCCTGTGGGGGTCTCCAGCTGCGGGGCTCCGTGTCTGGACGACCACGGCGCGTCTTGCTTTGTCTCTAAAACTGAGCTGCCAGTGGCAACTCCAGAGCTACTGACTGCGACATCTTTCCTCCGAAGAACAGTGCCTGTGGTAGTTTAAAGTCGGTTAAAAACTGATTTTTTTTTTTTTTTTTTTTTTTTTTTTTTTTTTTTTTTTTACCTACAAGATTTTATCTTGGCTTATGAGCAGCGTGTTGTGTGAATTTTACGTCGATACAACCAATCGTTTTCTTTATCCACAGTTAAATTGCAAGAATCGAATCTTACTAAATGAATCCTGAATTAAAATAATCCTATATAAATAAATATATATTAAGCGATATATCTATATATGACTTTTCAGCCAAATAACTCCTGTTGCGCAGTTTTAACGTTACATAAGCTCCAGGGGCAGACCAGTGCTTCGGTAGATTAATTGGAGGGAAATCTTCAAACATTCCCACCTGCCTTTATTCCCCTTTTACCTGGAGTCCTCAAAAAGCCTGCTTGAATCAGAAAACCGTATTCATTTTCCCCATTATTATGGCCCTAAAAACCAACCTGGCTAAGATGTAGTAATGTTTTGCTCAAAAAAAAATATATTTTTTTTTTCCCCACAGCTCCAAGCAGCCAGATTTGATTTAAAACTATTTCAGATAAATCAGTGTAAATGCTCGAGTAATCCCCACAAGGGCGGACGGCATGTCGACGCCCGGGCGTGAGCGCAACACCTCTAGCCGGGAGTCAGTCCAGGCGTGAATTTTCATAACCGGGATAGCGCAACGAGAGGTGAAAAAGAACGAAAGCAGGGGAAAAAGAGCTGCAAATAAATACACTACGTTCGCAAACTTGCACCATCCTTGACTCCAGTCATTCTGCAGGGCTGTGAGGTGTAAATAAAATAACGTATTTCAGCCTTTAGTCTTTACCTTCTCCGGAGCGGCTGGTGTTTCTCTGCTCCTTAAAGGAGGAGCCTTTAGGGATCCCCATGTACCTGGATAAAGTGGCAACACCACCTTTCATCCTGACCGGGGAATTCCTCACTGGAGTCCTCTCAGCTGGGTCACTTAATTACTCCAATCCCAGAATCTTTTTTTTAGTCCCACACTAAACTCCGCTGTCTTAAAGCAACCCTCAGGCTGGAACCTCACGTCAAAAAGCATCGCAACTACTATTTCTCTTCCCCAAGGTTTATATTCACAGCCAAGGGCAGCTGCTGTGTGGTGCCGGGAAGATGACGTGCCTCCTTTCCTCGTCTTGCAAACTTGGGAGGAAGGATTCCTTTGTTCCTAATTATTATTTACTCGAATTTTTCCTTGATATAATAAACGATCTGTAGCTTGGGAGGACGTTAGCAGGGGTCCTAAGGCAAAAGAATTTCTGGGAACTCGTGAACAAAAGACTTCAGACTGATTCCCAGCCGTTGATGCAGATGAAGCGTTGTGCATCAGGTATCATAATGCAGCACGGCAAGTTGTATTGTACTTGTGTGCGTCCCCAAATATGTAAGCGATTCCTATCCCTGGTATTACAATAAGATTTTAATTAATAAAATTCATTATGTATTAAAAAAAAACCCCTCTGTTTCTGACTTATGAGCTGACGTGTCAGGTGACTGTTACACCAGAAAACTCCTAGCTGCATTAACTGGTGTTTTTTTTCAGAAATCTGTTTCATGTGAATCCTGATTTTCCTCTCCTTCTTTAACATATTTCTGACATATCGATTTTCTCTTTAAAGTGCTTATAAAAACATTTTTAAATCCATGCGTCTGGTCCATTCATAAAAATCTTGACAAGCCGACAGCCCCCGTTTCTCCAATTCTTTCGTAGTCTTACAATAAACTTACGCCTGTCATTCGTGATAAATTAAGTTTTCATCAGGATAGAGCTATTTCTTGTGTGTCCCCCACCCACCCCAGTCTTCACCTTAGTACAGCCACAGAAACACAGCCTGGATGGAAACACCAGTTTCAGAGTACGGTCTGTTGCAACCTTTCCTTTTCTATAATATTGTCCTTTTCAACCCAGTCAAAAAGCTGGGGGAAAAAAAAAAAAAAAAAAAAAAAAGCCAAGCAAAAAATAACCCAGCTCTGTGATGATGCTCTGTGACTTCACTTTGAGTCAGTGGCCAAAAAAAAAAAAAAAAGTGGATCGCATCTACCTGCCTTTAGTTGCAACATGATCAAACCCTGCAAAGAGACCGGAAACAAAACCACACACTCCGCTTAAATCCTATGCAAGCGTTATTTGTAAAGACTAAAGTGGATGTGAGGTAACTTAGAGCTCTCTCCCTAGGAATCAATCCTATCCAGAGATGATCTTGTCTCACTGAGAAAATGGCTACGACTTTATTGAGTTGTTCTCCTCATCCATGAATATTCACTGAGGGCTAACAGCTGTACGCTGTTGAATTTAATGCCCTGGAAGGCATTTCAGGGGAAAACCCTTTCACAATGGACAACAAACCAGATTTAGGAAAAGAAAATAAAATCCCGATCCCTGACAGCAAGCTCTGATGTTCCCGTGAATCGTTTTCACAGACTGAATTTGAGGGGTGGGGGGAAAAAAAAAAAAAAAAAAAAAAAAAAAAAAGAAGTCATGATCAACTCACTCTATAACTGACATGCGGCTAACGAAGCGTATCAAGTTCTTTTCGACCCATGAACTGTTAAAGTGAATCCTGCCCGCAGGGTGTTGCATGTATTTGGCACGCTACGGTGAAGATCCAATAGCTAACAAACACAAGCAGCGAGCAAAACAGTTTCATTACTTGCAGGAGTTATGCATGCAGCGACGTTTGTTTTGCAACTAATTAAGACTTCATGCAAAAAGGGTGTCACATCCTCCAGGCAATTTGACTAAGTGTATAAAAGCGTTTGCTACGTAGAACTCTCCTAATCACTTTTCTTAAACTCTTCTCCTTGGTGATCCGGGTAAGTCAATTTTGAATCAATTACTTATTGCTATCTAAATATTATCAAATTATAGGTTAAACTTAGGAAATGGCAAGGGGGTGTTCGTCCAGAAATATACTTTCTGTTGTCCTTTAGGTGTAAGACAATTTAAGTTTTACACTTCAGAGGTGAACGCTGGCGTTTGCAAGCCACGTTAGTGTTCAGGACAGTTCATTTAAACCAGGGACGGCACGTAAAGCTCCCTCAGAGCTCTAAAGAGTCGCAATAATTTCACACCGGTAAACATTCTTTTCATATTATAAAGACTAGGATTCATTAAAGAAATTATCATTTGAAAAATTAATTTATTTTTTTTTTAATGATGTTTTCACCCTCAGCTGTCTTCAAGGAAGCTACGGTGTCTGTTGAGAGTTGGAGAACTTGTCCTAAATATTTTCAAAAGTCTACAGAGACTGAAAGTCAGATTTTACTTACTTAAAAAGCCACTTGGCTGCTGGTTTTGTTTAAAATATATTTAGAGTGTTGAATTCCAGATCTAGAAGGAATGTGCAAGTGCTCCTTCTTCAACTCTTTTGGCAAGTGCTAGCATGAGCTTTGACAAATTATTTGCCTGCATTGGACGACTTGAGGATCCCTACCCTTAGACTCATCTATGGTAGCAATTCTTTTCTCAAAGGCAAAACTGGCTGTTTCTCAGATCCCGCTTTTTAGCCGGAAAAAAATATTCTGCTGCTGCTTTTTTCCTTACCTTCAAGTCAAAGGCACAGAGTCAATCGGAAAAAAAAAAAAAAAAAAAAAAAAAAAAAAA